ACGGTCACGGTGGCCGTGGAGGTGGATATGGAGGCTATGGATACGGTCGGTGAAGACACCATTAATGGTGTTACTGCCACAGTTTCTGTACCTTCAGCCTCGCACCAAACTCTCGCTGTGTAAACAAATCTCTTCTAAGTTAAGCGGCTTTTTGATGCTTTACTCACGTTAAGGCTTCTTGTGGCCTTACTCATGATAAGGCTTCTTGTGGCCTTACTCATGATAAGGCTTCTTGTGGCCTTTCTCATGATAAGGCTTCTTGTGGCCTTACTCATGATAAGGCTTCTTGTGGCCTTACTCATGATAAGGCTTCTTGTGGCCTTACTCATGATAAGGCTTTTTGTGGCCTTACTCATGATAAGGCTTCTTGTGGCCTTACTCATGTTAAGGCTTCTTGTGGCCTTACTCATGTTAAGGCTTCTTGTGGCCTTACTCATGTTAAGGCTTCTTGTGGCCTTACTCATGAAGACGCTGGTTTTATTCTCTTATTACTGTTCTTTGTATCAGAGTGAATTTATTTTTGTATCGAATTCAGCTTGATTTACCACGTGATCAAGATTTTATAAAATTATGAAAATGTCAAAAACTCAAAATTTTTGGAATAAAATGACAAAAAGACATATATACCAGTTTTATCTTATCCCTACCAACGAAATTGATAATTTTTACCCCGTGAATGGACTTGAACTCCTGGTTGTAAGTTAACAATTGTTTTAATAGTATTAAGAGTAGAACGCAGATAAACAATAATGTGGGAAGGAGGGAAGTAATAATCTGGTACAATAATTATCATGCAACACTGGAGAGAACTTGACCTGTGTTGTGTTGTAGTCCAGGTTATGTACGTGTTCACACAGGCTTGCCCAGGTGTTGTCTTGACGACCAATGTTGTGTTATACCTTAGATTATTTATCAATAACTTTCCTGAAGATAAAGTAGCAGTAATATTACACTTCAAGAATGACTTTAAATTATTGAAAATAATGTTGTATTAACAGGTGTTCAAACTCACTTTTATAAGGTTTCCACTTGTTGCCATTTAGATACTAATAGGTTTTGCCGTTTTTGTTTGTTGAGCATAAACTCACTTTCAAATTAAGATTTTTGGTTCTTATTCACCGTAAAAAGGTCACGCAATTACCTTTGTAGGGAAATGCATTTTGTCAGACAATGTCCAGTAAAGGGTTCCTCTCAATTTTATCCTCAGTAGAGATGAAAGAAAAATCACTAACAGATTCATTATTTACCATAATATGTCGGTCCTAGATAATTTACACTGATAAAAACAAATTAATAATTTTTTTGTTTTTATGCCAAAGAACTCAACGTTAATGTTTCTAAAAAGGTCATCATCTCAGGCAATCTGCAAGCAATAGAGGCAGTGAGCTCTGTATTATTAAGTGCCTCAGCCATTGCCCCTGCTTATAGACTTCTGCTTAGAGCCCCTCTGGGAAGTAATGCCATTGACATCATTCTCGTGGACAATTTGACTGATTCTGAAGAATGAAACAAGGTCCAGCCAAATATATATTTTCTGAGATAAGAAATGCACACTTATTTGAGAGCCCAAAACAAATGTTGTATGACTACACGAGTCTGTTGCAATCAATATTTAGAAAAACAATTAGTCTTACGCTAGACGATAGCGAGTGTTATCAGGTTAAACTCCTTTTCAGTCTAAGGGACAGACGTGTCTGCAAGGCCTCAAGGATTGTACTCTCTCCCTCCAAGTCTTCGTGAAAAGCTTTTAGGGTATTATTAAGAGCGATTCTTCCTGACACTATAATAGGCTCTTCAACCGAAATGGTTTTCCCAAATTTCTACAAACAGTTGCACTTGCTTAGCATAGCTATGTAGTAGAGAACATAGCCTCAACAGTGATTGAGAATGTGATAGGGAATGAGAGAGATTATCTCTTAGCAGTGAGAGCTCCTCTTGGGAAACCTCTCGACACTCAGACCATTCGTATTGGTGTTATTCTGTTATTCTTCGAATCGTTACGAATAACCTCATCGAACACATCACCAGTATATATTCGGCAATCTGTTGGCAATTCAGTTTTGGACAAATTGTGAAATTTGTTGTAGATTGGAGAGAAAGATCGTAAAGGATGAAATATTTGACAGAGGCATTAAAAGAAGTGTTGCAGCAGCCAGATGCGCAGCAATAAAGAAGTTGAAAATCCGGTGGCAGCCAAAAGTGTCCTTATGGAGTTACCTCACAATTCAAGAGGGATGGTAAGCTGGTGCTAAGGAACTACAGATAATCATCAACTTTAGCTTCTATCACAGCAGTTGCATACATTAAGGTGATCCAGAGACATGCTTGTAGTAGTTGCTGTGTTTTACTGAATAGTAGGAGGAGACTGGCGTCTGTCATTCTCACCCCAGATCTACATGTTCATAACTGTCTTACTTACACTTGAGGGTTGGGCATCTCCTGGTTAACGCAAGCGTTATGGCATAGTACCCACAGTTATAGTGGCAGTATTTGTATGTAACACCCTGGCTATCGGTGCTCTTCACTTCGGTTGCTCCATTACAATATCCAGAAAGAGGGAGTATTGACAGGCTGATATCTATCTAAAATTCAGCTGAATAGAAGCAGTAGCGAGTGTAAACTAAAAGAATAACAGAAGTTAGTAAAAAACGAATTAATTGTTATGAAAACACGGTTGTTCTCACATTTTTAGAGACCCATCGGCTCATGGCTAAAGTGTGCATCGAACGTTCAGTGAGAATTAAGAGAAAGACTCATCAGGGGAAAGAAAGGATCCTAAAGGAACTAGCTTTCTGTTACTGTTAATCAATGTAATAATTCAGAGTGGTAAAACCTAATGGATCTTTGGGCACCACCACAGCTCTGAAGAGCTGGACGAAGAGTTCAAAATTTAATTCTTGTCAACTAAACATTTGCAGTTGTATCTGACTTGGTAATGTATCTTTTAAACCTTGAGCACCATATTACCTAATAGTAAATATGAATGAGTAAGCATAAAGCGTGGAGAGTTTTACTGCATGTATGACAAAGAACAATACTTTAATGTCTGATGGTGCAAAGCTTGACCTGGTGACGTCAACTGAGCTAAGAGTATAAAAGTGGCAGGAGAGAGAGAAGGTGAGTCAGTCTGAGCTTTGCCTGCTAACAGTCAACAATGTTTAAGAGTGTAAGACCCTAGAATTCTCAATATCATTTAAGCTGCATTCTTAGACACAGAATTTTCTTAATCAATAATCTCATTAAGTCACTTTGTAAACATTTCTACTTTTGTCTAAGTTATTACTTAATGATTAATTTATTAAAACTTTGTAATGTATTTCTCAGGTGATCGCTGTGTTGTCCATCTTCCTGCTGGTGGCCTCTGCCATGGCCAGCCCCATGCCCGAACCTGGCTATCGTAGAGGTGGATATGGCCATGGTGGCGGTGGATATGGTGGATACGGAGGCGGTTATGGAGGTGGATACGGTCATGGTGGCCGTGGAGGTGGATATGGAGGCTATGGATACGGTCGGTGAAAACACCATTAATGGTGTTACTGCCACAGTTCCTATTTCTTCAGCCTCGCACCAAACTCTCGCTGTGTAAACAAAGCTCTCCTGAGTGAGGTGGCTTCTTGAAGCTTTACTCATGTGAAGGCTTCTTGTAGTCTCACTCACGTGAAGGCTCCTTGGGGCCTTACTCATGAAGACGCTGGTTTTATTCTCTTATTACTGTTCTTTGTATCAGAGTGAATTTATTTTTGTATCGAATTCAGCTTGATTTGACACGTGATCAAGATTTTATAAAATTATGAAAATGTCAAAAACTCAAAAATTTTGGAATAAAATGACAAAAAGACATATATACCAGTTTTATCTTACCCCTACCAACGAAATTAATAACTTTTTCCCCGTGAATGAACTTGTATTCCTGGTTGTAAGCTAACATTTTTTTATGATGGTATTAAAAGTGAAACGCAGATAAACAATAATGTGGGAAGGAGGGAAGTAATAATCTGGTACAATAATTATCATGCAACACTGGAGAGAACTTGACCTGTGTTGTGTTGTAGTCCAGGTTATGTACGTGTTCATCCAGGCTTGCCCAGGTGTTGTCTTGACGACCAATGTTGTGTTATACCTTAGATTATTTATCAATAACTTTCCTGAAGATAAAGTAGCAGTAATATTACACTTCAAGAATGACTTTAAATTATTGAAAATAATGTTGTATTAACAGGTGTTCAAACTCACTTTTATAAAGTTTCCACTTGGTGTCATTTAGATACTAATAGGTTTTGCCGTTTTTGTTTGTTGAGCATAAACTCACTTTCAAATTAAGATTTTTGGTTCTTATTCACCGTAAAAAGGTCACGCAATTACCTTTGTAGGGAAATGCATTTTGTCAGACAATGTCCAGTAAAGGGTTCCTCTCAATTTTATCCTCAGTAGAGATGAAAGAAAAATCACTAACAGATTCATTATTTACCATAATATGTCGGTCCTAGATAATTTACACTGATAAAAACAAATTAATAATTTTTTTGTTTTTATGCCAAAGAACTCAACGTTAATGTTTCTAAAAAGGTCATCATCTCAGGCAATCTGCAAGCAATAGAGGCAGTGAGCTCTGTATTATTAAGTGCCTCAGCCATTGCCCCTGCTTATAGACTTCTGCTTAGAGCCCCTCTGGGAAGTAATGCCATTGACATCATTCTCGTGGACAATTTGACTGATTCTGAAGAATGAAACAAGGTCCAGCCAAATATATATTTTCTGAGATAAGAAATGCACACTTATTTGAGAGCCCAAAACAAATGTTGTATGACTACACGAGTCTGTTGCAATCAATATTTAGAAAAACAATTAGTCTTACGCTAGACGATAGCGAGTGTTATCAGGTTAAACTCCTTTTCAGTCTAAGGGACAGACGTGTCTGCAAGGCCTCAAGGATTGTACTCTCTCCCTCCAAGTCTTCGTGAAAAGCTTTTAGGGTATTATTAAGAGCGATTCTTCCTGAC